CTCCCGCCAGAAATATTTTTTGGTATTTAATATTTATTTTTTTCAGAAATAATATTCGGACCGAAAACGGTCCGGATATTATTGGCGCAATTGTACTGTTGACTCCCGCCAGAAATATTTTTTGGTATTTAATATTTATTTTTTTCAGAAATAATATTCGGACCGAAAACGGTCTGAATATTATTGGCGCGTCTACACTGTGACTCCCGCCAGAAATATACGGACCGATACCGGTCCGAATATGTTCATCAGTATGTTTTCCCCCACCGGAATATATTCAGACCGATATTGGTTCAAATATTTATTTTTTCGTACCGACACGTGTCGGTCCGTATATGATCGGTCCGCATACCTCATTTTTCTAGTAGTGATCCCTGTTCAACAAAGGAATCATGGGGGTCATCAGGAATCAAACGGGCTAATATTTTGCCCATTGCCATTTTGAGAATTCTGGTTCTCTCTTCGAGCTCGATTGTTCGAGCAGGTTTTGTTGACCGTTCAAGTCATTCATGTTGTGAGTCGCCTGGTCTGTGATGTCTTTGCCTTGTTCCTGTTGGAATTTGGAAATGTTCGTGCTGAGTTGCATACCCAGTTGGTGTTCTTTCATCATCATCCGTTCCACTTAATTGATCCTGTTATGCTCCCCCTACGAAAAGGTTTCTTGGCATTAGCCTAAAGTCATTCAAGCCGGGTTCAGTCAGCTGAGTGTCCTCCTGTTCGTCCATTTCATTTCTTGGAGGGCGACCTCCTGTAAAAGTACGAACCATTTTGCCTTTCAGCAAGTTAAGCTACACAACTTCCTGTCCAGTTCCCACAGACAGTGCCAAATGTTTGGGCAACTTCGTAGTCCAACACTGTTGAAATCTTCAGCTGCTGCTACACTTGAAAATCCCAAGGATGTTTCCTCGAGAAAACACTCCGACGCTCAAGTCAGCAATACTCAATATTTTAGAGAGAGCTGCTCGCAAAGAGTAATTGCAGAGAGAGAAACGTAGAGATTCATTACCTTCATTGATGGTAGTTAGGGGGCATTTATAACCCCAAATGCTGACATGCATCAATACATGTAAGCACCTCATTGGCTCACGTGGCGCTGCCCACGTGGGTATGTCCCCTCCTCTTGGGCCTGTGGGTGTATAGTTGGGCCTGCTACATGTGGCCCGAAGCGGGTGTTGGGCCTAATCCCAACAATATTAAATCGACATGACCTTTGATGAAGAATGAGAACATATTCCATTGCATTGCTAGAGATTGGACTTTTGGAAATTTGATTATGATATGCTAAGATATATTTTTTTAGCTTTTCTTTTGGCATTTTGAGCGAATCTATCAAAAATACCTTTAAGCGATGTATTAAAAGAAGAATCTCAAATTGGTCTGTCTGGCATGTGGATAGGCATACATTGTAGAGGAGGATGAAGACTTATTGCTACCAGATGATGCAGTCTGTCATTATTGGCGTGACTTGCATTAAGAACTGAGAACCTTGTTGCTCATCTAGATCTAAGGGTGGTTAGTGAGAAATCGTTAAAAAATGCAAAGGATTGCCATTCAATGTAAAAATTGTTGGTGGTTTCTTGAGTAATAAATTAAATTGTAATGAATGAAAACACATATTAAATTTTGAAATATAGGATCTATCTGAAAACTAAGGTGGTATTCTTCCTATTATCAAAACAAGATAAACACATAATAAACTGCCAACGTTTTTGTAATGGTAGTTAGGTCTTGCAACTCATTTATTTTTCCTAATGAATTTTTGGAGTTTGTTTTAATTTTCTTCTTGGTTCTTCCTCATCAAATCAATTATCATGAATTTTCCAATCATATAGATCATTTTTTTTTTCTTGGAGAACCCGAATTGAAAGAAAAAATGGTTTCAATTGCAGCCAGTTTGGTATTTGTTTTGCTGTTGAGTTTTTAATTCTACACAAAAATCTTCAATCCATAGTGTAAAAAGACAAAAATATCTTTATAAATCATGAACACATGCAGATCAAGCAAAATCAATTTGAGATTGTTGTAAAATTTACTATAAGACTTAAATACT